TTATAGCCACAGTTACAGATGTTGCTGGTTACTAAAAACATGTGTGTCAGGTTACTAAAAACATGTGTGTCAGGTTACTAAAAACATGTGTGTCAGTCGTCATTTAACAATTGTCATTTACAACAATTGTCATCACACAACACAGTGTCATTTACAAATTATAGCCACAGTTACAGATGTTGCTGGTTACTAAAAACATGTGTGTCAGGTTACTAAAAACATGTGTGTCAGTCGTCATTTAACAATTGTCATTTACAACAATTGTCATCACACAACACAGTGTCATTTACAAATTATAGCCACAGTTACAGATGTTGCTGGTTAGAGCAAGCGCATTTGAAAACAAAACACCAGTATTGCTAAGACTTTGAGGAATAAATGCATAAATACATGGTGTAACGTTGTGGAAGTGTTCAAAAAGATAGGTGAGATGTCCATGTTAAAAAGCCCGATCATTTTGCGTTTTGGGGATAAATTTTTGGTCAGACCAGTTGGAGCATTTGGATAGATTACATCTATGGCAGAATGTACTATAGCCCTGCGGCAGCGATCCGCGGGCTATAGTACTACTAGGCCTACTACTACTAGAGCTACGTCGGCTCGGACTAAGTCTGCTTGTGAGTGAGCGACAGTCACATCATTCCCAGATTAAGAGCAAAAACCGCCACATGCCCTTAAAATAATTATGCACGCTGCTTGACAGGCATGTAAAGTACTTACTTCTTGTTCATTTATACCATCAGATACTGTGTCACTACCTTGATCACTCCGACTTTTTTGGGGACACAAACTTGACTCGAAATTTGTGTCCATTATTTTTGATCTGCGCGCCACCTTCCGTTAACATTGTCAACGTAGAACTTATAGAATATATTGTAATAACGCAAGACTTCGCGTGCATGTGAGCATGAATTCACAAAACGTGGGATATTTTTTTATATAATTAATAATTATTTATTTGGTTTTTATTGCTATTTAATTGTCACAAACATGTTAGATAAGTGTTAGATGACGTCATGTAAACTTTTCCAAAACGTGTTACCATTGGTCAGTTTTTTCAATAGCACGTTCCCAGTTCACATTCATGCTGCCGGAACCTTATGCTGAATGGAGAAGGAGTCGAAATCAGTTCTAGGAATCAGGTTCGCTGGAAAATAGATATTTTTCATAGTACGACGCCATCATTGCAAGTTATTTGTGATTGGAAGGTATGTTTCAAGGAAAGATGAGCTTATCTGCAAAGATTTATTGTATAAGCATAACAACAACATAGAAAATAAATTATAAGACATTCCCACCTACGGCTCTATTTCAAGTAAAAACAATCACATATGAAATGATAATGGAAAACGTGACGGTGATATTTCGCGGTAGTTTATCCACTGTTCAGGCCGGTTGCGTTCGTTCAATAATCAATATAATATATCCTCTAATCAAGTCCTTACTTGTAACTTAGTTGTAAATATTAAATAATTAAGCTTCGTCCAATATTAATTATACTCTAATATTGTACTCTAAGTACTCTAAGTACAAACGCGGGCAGTGTCAAAATTTGGCTTATATTATAATTATAATTAATAATAAGTTGGAGATTTGAGACCACAACCACAAGGTAAAACTTAGAATAGAAATTAGAAGCTAGTGACACTGACAGTGATGACGTAGGAATTCGGTTGTGAAGTTATTATTATCCTTCCCTTCGTACCCTTCGTAAAATAATGTTTACCAAGCAAAGCCTTTAATCTATATAGGAAGGCCCATCATCGAAATGGTGAGCACCCCTAGTAGTAGTACAAAGGAGATGAAGACGAGAAGTGGAAGAACAGTGAAGGTAAAGACCTTTGATGAAGATTCCACCTCCACAAAACCGCGAGAGAACGCCACGAAAACCCCCGTGGCAAAGCCGACAAAGGCGATCAGCGGAGGAGTTGCCCGCGGCAACCAAAAAGCAGGCAATGACATGATGGAAGTGGCTGATCCTCCCCAACTGGAGAGTCCTGTCAGAAAGAGGGGACGACCAAGGAAGCATCCCCTACAGCCTGCTCCTTCCCCACTGGCGCAGAAGACCACAGTGGTTTCCCCACCTGGGCGCCAGGTGGCATCGAGAAAGGGGCCAAGGAGAAGCCCCAGAATGGCTTCCTCTTGGGGGGAAGCTGAGACCGCATCCCAGAAAAGGTCGGCAAATCAGAAGACTATGCGCAAACAGCCAAAAACAAAGATAAAGCGTTTGGACCTGGAGGAAAAAGCCGCAGGGAAAGATGCAGAGGAGAAGTCAGAGAAATCAGGTCAGTATATATATATATATATATATATATATATATATAATATATATATATGTGATTTTGTATCGAATTCTTCCTTTTACCGGTACTGAAAAAAAAAAATTTAAAAGCTACCATAAAAAGTACAGAGATCATTATATATTTAGTTGTTTTTAATATTTTTTCTATTAATATAAATCATATAATCGCATTTAATTATTTTGAAAAAATGAGATATATTCATTATTTTAAATATCTTTAATATTTTTTTAAAGTTGCTAGTTTTCATTTTTAACATACAGATGGCACATCCAGTGAGGATGAGGAACAGACACTGCTTCAGTATAACGAACCCGAACCAGCCGACAAGGACAGTGAGAGTGATAACGATAATCAATCTTCTTTAAAAACTGAAACAGAAGCCACTGACAAGAAGCAACAGGTAATTAGAGCTGTTCGAAAAGTTTCTCGCACCTTTCTAATATGTTTATACATTTAAATCGAAATAACACTCGTTTCATGTCAATGTAAATGTCATGTCAAATGTCATGTAATTTCGATGTGTGTCCCGAATTGCCTGAGTTTTCCATTGCTGAAAACTGCTGGGCCCGCTAGCTCGTAACCTAATGGATCCAATTACCAGCAATTTCCGAGCATTCCCTCTTACAACTGGCAGCACTGTTACACTTGTTCCTTGTCTTTTTTCTGCTTTAAAAACGCCCGGGAAACTCATCTAATCGCTAAGTGTCTCGCCATGCCAGCCAGGTCGTGAGTTGCAATGGGGACACCTCCTCCATACGTGCTCGTAGGTTATCGAGACGACGTGATAAATTCCGAGGATCGACGCTCGTAACGTCATTTCTGCACGCGCATGACAGGTCGATGAGTCGCTGCCCGAGTCTGCCTCGCCGCGACCCAAGAAGGTTGTGATCCCGCGAGGTCTTCCCGCCGGAACCACTCTCCTTGTACCGCAGGGCGACACGGACAGTCCGACCATCCTCATCCCAGCCGGCATGGAGCCCGGCTCCACGTTGATAATGCCCGGGCACGACACTCGTGGTCGCCACGGCGACGAGAAGGGAAACGTTCTTCCCAGCGGCGCAGTGGACGTGGACGCTGCCAATGAAGGGAATGAGACTACAGGTATCGTAGTCGAGTGAAGTCGTCCCTCCCATCTCACTTTCCTCGATGCACATTGCTTGAGCGACTAATCTATTTGTAACTGCTCCGTGCATGTTTATGTTGTGTTTTAGGTGAAGTAGGTTATGACTGACACAATAGCTCAGATATTTTTACGCCCGTTTTGATACGTGAATGCTGTGTACGTGTTGGCACGATTCATCTGGGCACATGTAATACAGTAAAAGATTGTTGCTCTGAAGCTGCTGTGAATGCTTGTCTTTAAACCTCGGTAATAGCTGGAAAAAGAATAACATGCTCTACCCGATCACGTAATTGAATTTAGGGAATATATCAAGGAAATTAGTGAACACTTCCCGGTAAACCTAAGTGAGAGCAATTTTTTTTAAATTTAACATTGTTTTTTTTTCACCAGCTTGCGAGGGTGAATCTTTAGTCCGCTTCTTGCAGGTATCTCCATGGAAACCGTGTCCGCTTCATTGAGTTCCGCCGGCAACGCCTCCATCCTGCTGCCTCAACTCAATCAGTTGAAGCCCTCCGGGGGTTACTTTGTGCTAAACAAGGATGGGAAGGTGACCTACCGCAAGCCGCCGCAGGAGGGGAAGTCCGAGCGCCCGCTGCTGCCGAAGGAAGGCTTCCTCATTCCGCAGCCTTGGGGCAACGTCATGAGCGGGCCGGACGAGATCGAGAAGGAGAAGGAGAAGGAGCGCAGGCGGCGCGACGAGAAGCGGCGCACTCTGGCGGAGACGGGCGGCGTCAGGCCCGAGTCGAAGTACCTGCGCAAGAAGCGCATCATGGAGGAGGAGATGGTCGCGCGCGGCCAGCAGATCGTCCGCAAGAAGCGCGGACGCCCGCGCAAGTACTTCCCCGCCGCCGCCGACACCAACGCAGACGAACCTGAGCCTGCCCCCGCGGCGGCGGCGCCCCCTGCCAGCGCGCCGCTCTCCCCGCCGGGTAGCGACGTCGCGGCGGCCGGACCGGCAACAGCGAGCGGCGTCCGGAACGCACGCGGCGGCGCCGGCACCGCGGGGGCGAAGACGGCCGTGACCCGCGAGCCGACCTCCGACCCTGAGGTCGCGCGGCCGATCACCGCCGCCGCCGACGCCGTGACAAAGTCCGGAGAGGAGTCGGGGCGAGCGGTCGGCCAGACGCGCAGTCGCCGCTACGTGACGTCGCCGACCGGCCACCTCACGTCATGCGTGTGCGAGCGCTGCCCGCCGGCCGGCGACGACCTCACGACGAAGGTCGCACCGGCATGGAAGGTCGCCACGGGGGGGAAGCCCGACAGCGATCCCCCCCCTCCTCCTCCTCCTCCTCCTCCTCCCGCGGCGGGGCAGGAGGGGGCGACAGCGAGCCCGCCGGCGTACGGGAACAACGCGTTCTGCCTCGTGCCGGCGGCGGGGAGCCACGCGACGGGCGTCGGCATCACGCCGATTTACGTCGCGCCGGACAGCGGGCTGAAGCCGCCGTTGTCGCTGCCGACGATGATGATGATCGTGCCGTCGAAGGAGGGCGAGGGAAAGCAGCTGTGCTACATGGTCGCCGGCGTGAAGAAACCGCAGCCGGGCAAGCAGACGGAGGCGACAAAGACGGCAGCGGCGGCAAACCAAGGTGAGCACGCCGACCGAGATGCAAATCGGGGTTAGAAATTTACGGTTGCGCACAAATGTTTACGTGCATTTTCGTTTTCTTAAATCTGAATTATTTTCAGCCTTTTCAGGCTCGAGTAAAAAAATATTGACTATTTATAATTATGTAATTAACTATGCTAGCTAATACGTTCTGGTAAAGTTATAATAATACTTGTAAAAATCTTTTCGCATGACAGATCACGAGCAAAAGACACAAGTCTCGGCTGGAATTCAAAAGCAGAATGCAAGCAGCTCTAAAGTTCAGTCAGAAAGAGAACTTACAACGCCATCTAGTGGGGAAACCCAGCAGGAAGGGAGTGAGATAAGTGAGGAGACGGGCGTTAAACAGCTCCCGAGAACACATCCGACGTACAAGGAAACTAAAGATGCCGAAGCAAAGACAGCAGACGCATTTGCGTCTGGTAAAGAGCAGGTCCGGAAGGAAATCAAGCAGCAATCGATCATGACAGCCGATGGAAAATGTCTGGTGGCAGTGAGCTCAGATAATGCCCCGTCCGGCCTACCTGTTTTCAAGGTATGTACCACCTGACAAGTTTCCCGAATCGGACTTGGTATGGTTAGACTGGTGGGCTAAGTGGACGGTTTGGTATGACGGGTAACCTTTCGCAGTATTTGTCGGTCATGTGCAAGGTCCCTGTGTTAATCTTATTAATGACAAAAGTCCAATCAAATGCCACAACCAAATCCAAAACTGTGAAAACGATTTCAATGGCACTGAAAACATTGATGAATAAGAATAAAAAATATTTCAGAAAAAGAAAAACGCGATCTTATATTATTTTTGTGAAAATGTATTACAATCTTTTGCAGTGTGGCAAATACATCATCAGTATTTAACCACATTAAAAATATGATCATGAGATACATCTGATATCTTTACAATCCTAATGATATTTTTTTTATTAATATCAAGAAGAGCATCAACATATATATATATATAAACTTATGTGTAGATATGTACGTGATTGATAAGATATGACTAATTAGGAATTGAAAATCACGTGAAAGCCTAAATACCGTTTCTTCCTCCAACAGTATGTCGCACAACAAGTGAACGCACCACAGTCCCACATCGCGCAGCAGCGTCGCGCTTTGCCGGCGCCCTCTGCGTTGACGCCGCGCAAGCCTGCGGAGAGACGGCCGGACTTCAAGCAGCTGCTGGAGGCGGCGTTGGACGAGGCGTCGAAGCAGAATAAGATACAGGCGCGGGCGACGCGCCGTGCCGCCGCGCCATCCACCGACGCTGTCCCTGTTGCCGCCACCGCTGCTGCCCAACAGGAGCCTGCCGAGAAAGTAAGCCTCTCTGCACTGTACCCGTATTCGTATCTACGACGATATTTGGAGAGCATTTATTATAACGATGATTATTGGTGAACTATTAGCGATTATTGGTGAACAAAACTACATTCGCCCTATTGCATTCCCTCGTTTTTTTTTGGTAACTGATACGTTCAGTATGTTAGTATGTCCGTAAATCCATGTAGGTTCATACAATTTGACAATGAAGACGAAATTCGGAGAGTGAGTTTGAAACTTGTGGAAAATTTTGCTATTCAATCCTGATAATATATGTAACATATATATGAGTGTGATACATACACACACAGACACACACACATGCACACATACATACAGCCTATCTAATCGTACGAAATTGCACCGCCGAATTCACGTGTGGACGCGACACGAAGGCCGAGGTCGTGCTAAGGTCACCTTCTCGCGCAGCTCGCAGCGACACGCGGCGACAGCAACGAACCGGTCGTCATGGTGATCGAACGCGGCGACGGCGGCGGCGACCCTGGCGACGTCACGGACTCAGACGGCATCTCGCTGCTGTCGCGCGTCGCCGCCTCCGCCGCCAAGGACCCCGCGTCGAGGGACAACCTCTACATCTTGATGCCGTCGCCAGAGGGCGCCAGCGCCGCGCAGGAGGCGGCGTGGATGAAGATCCTGGAGAGCGGCGGCTCGCAGAAGGCCAGGTCCTCACGCAACTGGACCGCGCTGCAACAGGTAAGAGCGGGCTAACGCCGCCGCTAAGGGGCGCCACCGCTATGGGGGCGCCTCCCTAAAAACGCGGTCGGCTCGCGGCGCTCTTTCGCGACCGTGAAAGAGGGGGCGCCACGCTTAATGCGCTCAGAGCATCATCGGCGGCGACCACGGGGGCGTTACCCCTGCATAACCATGGCGACCGCATCCTTGCAGGACCCGATGATGATCCCGGAGTACTTTGAGGAGGTGATCGACTACCTGGACGACCACTACCCGTCGCTGAGCTACAAGACGGGCGAGACGAGCGGCAACGAGTTCTACCTGGAGATCACGCGCCACCTCACCGACGTGCCGCTGGACAAGGGCGGGCCGCTGCACGCCGCGCGCGTCGTCGCCTTCGCAGACGGCACCGCGAGGTTCCAGGTGCTCTGCCAGACAGGTGCACATTATGAGACGCTCTCCCGGGAGTTGAGGGGGTTGTTTGGGTTGGTCTTCATTTCACACGTGTTTCTCGCACCGACCGTTACTTAGCACACCAAACTAGCGCACACCAACTGAGCAACTCACCCCCAGCAGCTAACGAGTGTTTTTCCCGGAGCAGGAAAGTCGACGAAGATCCTGGCTCCCAGCATGGTCGAGGGTAAGACGGTCGCACTGGACCACGAGAAGTTTGAGGAGATTCTGCAGTACCTGGACGACCGCTACGTGATGTGTTTCGGCATCGAGGTCGAGCGATTCGACGAGATGTTTCCTGACGCAGACGTGAGTACATCATTCGTGCGTAGTCTCTACCGACGGAGTCCCCCCTCCCCGGCCATCGCTCATCAGGAAGTATAGCCCCCCTATAGTGGGAACGTAGGGGTAGTGCCTCAAGTTTTCTGCTTTATAAATGTCAAATTCTGCTTTCTTCTGCTTTACAAATCTCTACTGCGCACACCGCGCGGACCCGGCACCGTATTTATCGATCGCAAGCGGCCAGCGTAGAAAATCGCGGGATCGCGAGCGAAATACGCTGCCGTGAGACGTGCGCCGGCCCCCTATAGTGGGAACGTAGGGGCTACACTGGTAAAGCTAATCGGTGCAACACTATCGGCGTAACCCCTGTATTGAGGTGATAACCAGTGATGGGGGTTTCTTCAGGCAAATGCGGTATACACGTTGCATGGCATGTTTTCCAACGTAGGCGTGAGTACATCATCGGTGCGTAGTCTCTACTGGCATAGCCCCCCCCCCACCACCACCATCGCTCCCGCTACGGGAAGTGCAGCCCCCCTGTAGCGGGAACGTAGGGGCTACACTGGTATAACTAATCGGTGCAATACTAATGCATGTGATCCCCGTACTGAGATGTTACTCACTGATTTTTTAGGCAAACCCGGCATACACATTGCAGGGCACGTAGAATCTAGGAGGGAGGGGTGGGGGCAGTTGCTTCCCTAAAGTTTAACAAAAACGAAGAAATATGCCTTATTGATACCCCTAAGATTACTGTGATAAATAATAGGCCAAATTGTCACCTTAGCTTAATATTATCCTGCATGCAGCTATTTCTTGAAAAGGTAAAAGAAGTACTTCCTTTTTATTACTCGGGACATATTTTCAAGAATATTGTAAATTTTTTCCTTTAAGGAAATTTGACAAAGCTCTACATTGTGTATTGATGACATAATATCATGCATGTCTTGTTCTCCATGTGTTCGATTTTGTCGACAGCACAATGTGAAAAGTAAAAACTACATGGTGGAATCGTTTCCATTCGTTCGGGTGATGTCGATGAAGTGTGAGATTTGGTACAAGATGCCAAAGAATGCAACCTCGCTGGATAGAGCGACACTCAGTCTTAACATGTGCAAGAACTGCACACAGGTAAACCATGCCATTTCTTGTTGCCATGATAGGATTCTAATGTAATAGTTATGACATGATTATGGAGTATATTAAAAGTAGCCTTATAAATGTAGATAACCCTAAAATAACCCTGTCATAATTAATATAACAAAATTAACTCTTTCACTTAATCTAATAATGTGCAGTTTCTTTCTTGAAAACTGTAAAAACAACAATCCCTCGCAACTACTACATTAGGTATCCACCTAGGCAACTGCTCATCCATCAGTTCGGTTATATTTATAAATGTAATAATAAGTATAATTGTTATAATAATAGCAAAAAACAACTGCAAAACTCAATATTCAAAGACATTGACTGCCCTAAACAGACTTTGACTGCCGCACCTACATTGCAGCTCTACTACTCCCCCAACGCGAAGCAGAAGAGGGGCGCCGGTCTAGCCGAGCCGCGGCGTGCGCGGGCGCGGACGAGCCGACCCCGGGACGACGTCTCGCTGACGCGCGACGAGCTCGCGGTGAGATTCAGATGCGACGCCCTCTTGCGGCAGCTGCGCGCCGAGCAGCTCAAGTTTGCGACAATCAGCAAGCTGCTGAACAGCGGCGGGCCAGAGGGCAGCACCGTAGTGTTTATCAACGACGACGGCGACGTCGCCGAGACGATCGTGCTCAACGAGGGCGCCACCGAAGAGAATTTTGACGGCGACGGTGGCGCCCTTGCTGACAGTGGCGCCCTCGCTGACGGTGATGCCCTCGTCAATGGCGGAGCTCTCAGTGACGGTGGCGCCCTCGTCGATAGTGGCGCCATCAGTGGCACCCACGAGTTTTTGGAGGATGAGCAGAAGAACGAGGAGGAGGGAGCGATAGAGGAGCCCTGCTACAATGCTTACGACAACGAGGCTGTGGTAGGGGGCGCCGGCGTTAAGGAAAACGCGCAGGAGCATGTCGAGGGTAACAACAGGTATTTGGGCGTGGTCGTGAGTGACACCGGGGTTGTGCCATCTGTGGGGCACGTGGCGACGCATGGTGAGGATGTGGACGTGCTGGGTCAACTCTGTGAAGAGGTCATCGGAAACGACGAGCAGGCAATGGATGTCCAACAGGAAGTCGAGTTTCAGAGTGCCGCCTAGTGGGAGTCGGCAAAGGTCTTTTTGTACTTCGTTTTTTTTTAAATTGTGCCATTTGAAGAATTCGATTTTGAAGAATAGATTATTGTATAGTTATAGTTTTGTGTTTTAAGTAGGTGCATTGTAAATACTAATGCAAGCACTATTGCTCAAATGAGTCGTTTGTTGTTGTTGTGTTCAGCGTGATGCAATATATGAGATATATTGTCAGCATCTTGTACATTGCTATTGGTCTAATGTGAAGGGAATATGTTCATAGTATACAGGCCATTAAGCAATTAGGGGTCCTTTGTCAGAAACGCTATGAATAGTTATGACATCATAAGTGTAAACTTTTAATGTGAAGTGTTGATGCAAAAGTTATGATTAATTTTGTTAGACGCATGATGTTGTAACTATTTATTATGTCTCTGTCAATGGGTCCCAGCTCTTGAAGTTGTATAGATAATGTCTGTTGATTCCATATAATTACATTTTCGATGTATAGAGGTTTAATAATGTCAAAATATTAGACGCCATGTTACAGCAGAAATGAGAAAATTGCCTATATTGCCTTTTGAAAGGCTTATTAGCTTTTGTGTTTTTCTATATTTTGTCCACTATATTGGAAATACGTGAATATTGCTTGCACGATGCCATGTTTATGTTATGCCTACTTAGTAGCGGAAGTTAGTGAGGGAATCTTTATATATGTGTGACTGATTCCATATTATCTTGCAGTTGATCGAAATATTTGCATTGCAGGAGTTTTTAAAGTAAACTGTTTTACAAACCTGATCAGAATATATTTTCTTATTTCTCATTTGTATTATTATTTTTGAAAAAAAATCTCCATATAGGTAACTCTTGCGTGTTTGGTTGACATGTTTTTTGAAGAGCGTGAGAATTAGTGACACATTTTATTTGTAAAACATCTACATGTGTTTCTTTTAATAAATATGGAATAAATATTTGGAATAGCGTGACCATCCACCAACAACATTATTAGGGAGCGGGAGCATTGGGCAGTGGTGTCGCACTGCTAGCGCTGTATCTACGGGGAGCTGGCGTTAGCTTGTGGTGGGTATAGATAGACATAATACCTAGGCTAGCTACCTGACTATGTTCTCAGTGCGTGGATACAATGTCCTCGAAACTCGAAAATCTTCGGTGATCTTATTCTACGCACAGAGCTTTTCAGGTATTAGGCTAATATGCGAAACGTGCATTCATGCTTAGTGTGTGTGTGCGTGTGTGTGTGGTTGGTTATGTAAGTGATTTGTGAAAAAAATTTATTACATAACTTGATGCAATACAAAAGCTTTAGTTTCAGTATTATTCGAATTGGTTATTATTGTTGGATTGCTTGTAGGTAAGGGTTTCGTAGCGCTTCAATGTATGGGTTAACTCTCGTCTGATGGAGGTCTTATGGTGCCTGTGTGTCTGGCTGGCTCCAACCAATCAAAGAGCAACGTGCAGCAATCAAGATCTATGGCTTATATCAAAGAAAGAAAATGTAAAAAATACACACATTTTCACACTCACCGACGGCTCTAACATAATCAAGGCTAAATATTCACTATTAACTACATGAAAGGTAAAGTATACAAGACAAGGTAGAAGACATTAGTCGACCCACAGCCTATCTATTCTCATTAACGCTACAAAATAACATTACCTAATTGAAAAGTACAAAATCTATAGCCTTTGGAACTCACAGGCAAGCGCAGACTCGATACACTCCGAGGTCACCGCATCCCATCACACTCACAGCGCCACAAACTCATCCCATTAAAACATCCTGAAACAAAATTTCAAACCTGCTTACAAGACATCCATATAAACCTAGATTGCTTATTCACTTACCCATAACATGACTTGAGTAAAATTACGTAATTATGGAAGTTACCCGTACATAAGAAATTCAAATACACTGTACGCACCACAAAAAAAGACACAAATAGGGAGTAAAGAAGTCAATTAATTGAGCAAAATCACCACATCATAACAGCCATAATCATTATGCAACAAAGAAAAATTCGCAGTTAGTGACTTATCTGCAGATTATAGAATAATAATTTTATAACCAATAAATACACACTTTGTACCTGAGGCATAAACCTGGGACGATTTAGCTTTATATTCTCTATCTAGTCGATGCCCCTGCGAATTTTTGGCATTCTTATAGTGTGGCCATTCTTCTGAATACCAAATCACTTCAGCACTAGTCATAACATAATACTCACAATGGCAGCAACGAAACGCAATAGAAATCACGAATGCCACACACAGCCATATTCCCTCATAAACGCTTGTGCAAACAATTGCCATCACCCTAAACCGGGGTACCTGGAAATAAACTCCTAGAACACATCAAACGAAACCAAAATAAAGAGATAGTTCCACTCCCGCCGAATGAACCCCTCCACACAATACACCTTACCTCTTAACTAAATAGTTACAGCACCCGAAATTAACGCCGTATGAACGGCCAACACAATACATACCGCTCCCAAAAATCAATGCTTATCAAATCATCTCTAGGCACAGCGTATGATACTGCCCAACAAGTAGCGATGCCAAGGGGCTATCCTTCGGTCCCATCACATCTCTAATCAATCGCATTATAGAGGACATTAGTACATGTATTCAGACTGAAACACTACCACCTAATCATCAGTGGCTAATTAGTCCTGGATTCCACTCAAACCGCGATCCCCCTACCATTCCTGTGCTCCAATACCGCATACCTTAAAGAAAGTCGGGACCGAAGCAACAGACATCAAAATTTGTTATAATCTACATACGTCATAGAATACACCAACCAAGACCCGCTAATTGAGCCCGCACGACACTCCACCCTCCCCCACCGTGCACCGCCCCGGTGTGGGGGGGGGGGGTGGCGGGTGGGGGGGTGGGGTGAGGCTTTTTGTGGCTAAATTTCGCCCCTTTAAAGGTTAGAGAAATGTTTAGGAGCGTAACTTATGAGACTTGTCCTTCGAAAATTTAATTTGAGCTCTTCCGAGTTATATAAATAAGGGAGTTACTTCTCTTTTCTATCCGTTTGCAAAAAAATCGCCTGTATGCAGGATAATGATTAGCTAAGTGACAATTTGTCCGCTATATTTATCAACTGATGTGCACTTAGGTGGTATGCATAAGGATATTTCTGCGTTTTTTGTTAAATCTATAGGGAAGGGTCAACTGCCCCACCGCCTGCCTCTCCTAGATTCTACGTGCCCTGGCAATGTGTATGCCTTTTTTTGTCGTTTTGCTTGAAAAACTTCAGCTGAGATTATACTATCTTTTGCGTACGTTGTTGTATCACATGGCATTAGTTTTATTTTTGCCATTTCTGTATTTTAGTTATATTCTTTTTTTATCCTATGTTGTATTTGTTCCCGCTTTACGTTCTCTTCTTCTTTTTTTTTGCTTTACAGTGGCGTGGTTGTTTTCCTGCATTTCCTGTTACCTTTGTATTCGGTGAAGCGATGGTTTGGTTGGTCGGTTGGGTGTTTGTGGTCTGGGGTGGCTATTGTCCTAGTTTTAGACGATCTATTTACGCTATCCGATTTTTATTTTTGAGTGTTATTTTCTTTTCACTTGTCTGCGTGGGATATATATCCTGCCCTGGCATACGTGGATACCGTCTATGTTGTGCCTGTAAGATATTATCCGGCCATCACTTTGGTTGATTCACCCTTTCAATGTACATGGGTACGTTTTTTTTTTTTTTCTTTTTTTTATTTTGTTTTTTTTTTTTCTCTCGACGTAGGTGGTTGGCGATTCTGTTTTTTTTCCAGGAGCGTTAACGGCAGGGGAGCGCCGGTTACGTCCCACTAGAAGGGGCGGGCGGCCTCACGGCCCGCGGAGGTCTGTGTCTCTTTTTTGCCGAGCCCGCGAGTGCGACTCGGGTCTCGCTGGGTCTATGTCGTATTAAAGATCTGTTTTTGTGGTCCTGGGTGCCTGCTGCGGTGTGGGCGCAGGTGTGCGGTTTGGGGCTTGCTTGCTGGCGCTATCTGCAGCGGAGTGCCGCTTTTTCTTTTTATATTTCTTTTTGTTAATTTTTTTTTTTTTTTTTTGTGCGAGTCTTCAGAATCTTTCTCCTCCTGCTTGTTGCTGGTATGCGCTTGCTTTGCATTCTTCATTCGCGTGGCCAATTGTTTTCCGTGGGTGGCATGTTCGTTTCTGTGTGGCATACAATAGTAAAAAATTATATTTAAGGCTTTTTCGAAGACTTGGGTGACATTTTGATTGCTCTTTTTTTTTTGATAACACAGCACTTAGCGGTTCGCGCAGGTAGCGTGCAGAACTTCTCCAATTATCTTGTTGGTAAGTGACCTATATATTCTTCTATGTCTCTCGATTAGTCCTGTGTCTGCGCTATATATGTCGTCCTGGATTTCCTATTCGTTCTTCTATTAGGTCATGGGTCATTGTTTTTTTTTTTTTTTTTTTTTTACTAATCTACATTTTTTCTTTCCTTACTCTCCATATGACGGGGCAGAGAGCTCTGGTGTGAGAAGGTTCACTTGATATCTGTATACGGCAGGTGAGATCGCGATGTCTGATCGTAATTTTTCTTATAGATCTGGATCTATAAGTGTGGTGATGGTCGATCGCTATGTGGTGAAAAGTAGTTTCTATCAAACGCGAAAGTTCGTCGATGTGATCGTATATGATACGGTCGTTTTTAAAATATCTGTCGTTTCTGCGATCAATTGCATCATCGCCACATTTTTTTTTTTTTTTATTTTTTTATTTTTTGTTTTTTTTGTTTTTTTTTTTTTTTTTTTTTTTTTTGTTTTTTTTTTTTTTTTTTTTTTTTTTTTTTTTTTTTTTTTTTTTTGTTTTTTTTCTTCTTTTTTTTTTTTTTTTTTTTTTTTTTTTTTTTTTTTTTTTTTTTTTTTTTTTGTTTCTTTTTTTTTTTTTCTTTGTTTTTTTCTTTTTTTTTTTTTTTTCTGGTCTTTGACTAATCAAGGCTGCCTCCATTTCATACCTTTACAGCAGCTGGGATCATTTTT